GGGCCCCCCCCCCCCCCCCACACCCCAAATCGTGTCTGTATCCATTCTAGGGATGTTTTTGATGAGCAGAAATAGAGTGTTAAAAAATACAAAAAAATGAATCAGGGGAAACATCCCCCAGGAGTGTTTCTCGACACTGTGTACAGCAGTCCGGAAATCTTTTGCATTAAATTTATTCATGTTTTTATGCAGATTCTAAGAGAACTCAAACTTACTACAAGCAATGTTTCATGGTATACGTTTGATGCATGTTATCAAAGTGAAATTTTATACTAAACTTTAATAAACTCATGAAATATCAACCTGATATTTCAATGTAAGAGATATTAAAATGGCCTTGAGGTCTCTCAGGTCCCAAACATGAGGGTTAACATATAAAAGACTTATTCAAAGGTCTTATTTGAGATGATTTAAATGCAAAAATAACCAGCCTTTGACATCTACTCATGGGACTTGTCACCTGTCCTTTATTAGGCCTTTTATATTCAACAAGGACACTGGGTTAGAGAAAATATGGCTGATTTATTATAAGACTTTAAAACTGGTACTGTGGATCTCGTAGACAGAATGTGTGTTTTGGACGGGAACACAACCTTAATTTCTTCATGCTGATGTAAGTATTCAATGTCTTATATCACTGACTAACACTTTTAGAATTAAGAAATAAGTCACGAGAGGAACTGATCTGTGATTTACACCACTATCGGTTATCATGTTGCCTTGCAAGACTGAAACTGTGAATTTTCTTCAGTGGAAGAGTAAAGAAGATTTTTAGCTGAAACCGGGATCATTGGTGATTCATAAAATGCAAGTCAGCGGCTACGTCACCTTAAGAGTAAAAAAATAAAAATAAAAGGCATATCAAGGAAAACAAAATTAATAACGTGGTTTCTTACAATATATTGTGGTCTTATGAAGCAAAATGATCAGTCTGTGCAAGAAACTGAACATTATTTGCAACATTATTACCTGTAATCCAGAGCCTCAGACAAACAGTCCGGAGTGATTTTTGGTTTGCGAACGAATCATTCTTTTGAACCGCTTCTTAGTGAACTAGATGAATCACCGAATCGTACTGAATCGTCTAAAACAGTTTGCGGCTCGAGCAGCACAGATCTACAAGTTACTCAATCAAAACTTACTTTCAGACGCCTGACAGTCACTGTGACTGGAAATGAGCTGAAATACCTGCATATCTGATCCTCTGATGAATGAACTCATTCAGCGCTCCAGTTCCTGCAACAGACACTGAACTGAGGAAACAGTTCGACTCGGACCGAAGACCGTTGAGCCGCTGATATGAGCACGCGTGAACCGAACACTTGAAGGAAGGGGTGAAATTAACGTTTTTATGGTTTCTTATTGTTTATTTAAAAAGGTGAGTTGATGAGGACTACTTCATTCACTTTATATGCTTTAGACCTGTCCAAAAGAACCAGTTTGTGGAAAAGAATTGGACTTGCCCGTTTGCCCGAGGCTCTGAATTAAAGGTAATAATAAATGTATATAAATGTAAATAATGTTCAGTTTCTTGCACAGACCGATCGTTTCACGTCATAAAACCCCTATATATATCGTCAGGAGCCACAGGGATTCATGTTGTGTTTCTTGATATGCTTTTTTTTTATTCTCAAAAAAATAAAAAAAGGGCAGCCACTGAATTGCATTTTATGAATCACAAGGACCATGGTTTCAGCTAAAATCTTCTTTACTGTTCTACTGAAGAAAAAAAGTCACTAGCATGGCCTGAGAATGAGTAAATTAACAGCAATTTTTCATTTTTGGGTGACCTATCCCTTTAAAGCAAGTGTATCTATCTACTAAAACCAGAATGATCGTTTTTTTTAAAATGTCACTATAATGGACAGAAAAAAATCTGCCATTTACACACTGGACACATTGAGATCTATAGACCTTCATTTCACTCTAATTGAACACTGTAAATTTAACAGTCCAGAAAATGGCTGTAATTTCAGAAACAGGAATTGGCATGTGGGCACAGACACCACAGGACTGTTCACATCTGCAGATGTTTACTACTGTGTATGACCATAAAAACCTTATTAATGACAAACTGTCCTTTCTGCATTGGTGACTTCATTACTTGTGAGCTGACTTGTAAAGTGTTGCCAGTAATGACTGAACCAACAAACCACATTAAAGCGTGCACAAGTCTACCAGTATATCTAGAGCCCTATGATTTGATTTCTACAATGTAGAAAATGTTGACGGAATTGTGGAATCCAGTCATAACAATGGAATTTACTGTATAACACGGAATTTGGGAAATTTTTGAAGAATTTTAGATCGACAGAATGAAAAGATTTGTTTGATTTTCATTTAATTAAAAAAATAACTAAATTGTTAATGTTTCATGCCTAGAATTTTTCAGAATTTCTGAAAAAAAAAAACATAGGGCCCTAATATTGTAAAATAATAATAATAATAATAATAATTTATTTGATGAATTTTGTTGATTTAAAATGGAATCCAGAAAAATTTAAATGGAAAATACAGAATTTGGTCAAAATAAAATGGAACTTGCAAAACAAAACAAAAAAACTAACCAAAACAAAACAAAGTATAAAAAGATTTAACTGTTAAAAAACTGTTGTTAAATTGTATTCATGTTTTCAATTAATTTGACATGATTTTAGACATTACTAAAATGTTATTTAACCATTAAAACATAAAAGTTAAATAGAAAAAAAAAACATTTGGGGAAAAAATAAAATGGATTTCATAGGGCTCTATACATCCTAGCCAACACCATTCCCCCGTATACAGTATATACCATAGTTCCCAAAATCACTACAGTCTGTGCTGAAACAGCTTCAGTATCATCACTCACATGTCTTGCGTCCCGAATCTTCCACAAACAGAGATGAGATGTCTTCATCCACACCGACCTCGTTTCTAGCGATGCAGGTATAAGCACCAGTGTCTTCATAACGCACACTACCGATGTGAAGCTCACTGCTATTTGCTGAAGAAATACAACAACCAACAGGTAGATGATTCAGTATGTTTCCGGTCTAATTCCTATATTTCCTATGTATTAACACACACACACATACACACACCATAGAAAAACGCCTCTAACAAAACCAACAAGCAACTATAGGGCAATAACATAAATCTCAAAAGTAAGTTTGAGGTGTTTGTTTCCACAGCTGACCAATAACATTTTTCATTGACAGAGCTTTGGGTGAAGGCATTCTTAAAGCCCATAAAAGTTTCCCTGTGGTTCAGCTAATACTGTGCCAAGTTATGAAGTCTTGGATTTATTGAGTGTCTGTTTTTTTTTTCAGCAGAAATGGTTTCTTTCAAAAATGACCAAAGGAAGGAAAGGTATAAAGTTGGCAGAATGTGAATTTCAAGTTGTTAGTTGACATGAATATTTCACAAACACATAAACTGTAAAAAAATATATTTTGTCAGGTTACCTAAAAATGACATCTAAACCCATTTGTTTTGTTCTGTCATCATATACTCACCCTCAAGTTGTTCCAAACCTGTATGAGTTTCTTTCTTCTTTTGAATATAGATTTAGAAGAAATTAGCAGTGTTTTTCAGAGAAATTTGTTTCCTAAATATCTGCAAACATATTATGGTATTTTATGCTTTAGCATAGTCCAAAAATTACATGCAGCAACTTCAATATTGTTAAATCAATCTATATTAGGTTACACCAGTGAAAGTCATTTTTAAAGGTCATGACGGCACATTTAGTGTTTATCAGACTCATTTCACATATATTCATATACATTCAAGCTCGTCTCACCATTTTTCTGACACACACTGAACCTGACTGGATAGTTATACGTGCTAATTACATTATATGAAGCATATAAAACGGGACAGAAATGTTTTCAGCACGTAGGACAGCCGCTGAGTGTATGAGCGGTGCTGCGGGCGGCTGCTCTCTCACGACAGAACAACACCCTGCAGTCACTTACAGCTCATCAGTGCCCAGCACGCCGTCCCGGTCAGCCGGGGAACACCAGAGAAAAAAACGAGCAGCTCTCAAATGCTGTATTACATGGATTTTGGGACACGAGTGCAATTCAAAGCCTTGTTTACATACTAAATAATATTACCATTCAAATGCAAGCACATAGTACACTCTTAAAAATAAAGGTGCTTCAAAAGGTTCTTCAAGCGATGCCATAGAAGAACCATTTTTGGTTCCACAAAGAAGCATTCAGTCAAAGGTTCTTTAAAGAACCATCTCTTTCTTACCTTTTTATAATCTGAAGAACCTTTTTTCACCACAAAGAAGCTTTTGTGAAACAGAAAGGTTCTTCAGATGTTAAAGGTTCTTTATGGAACCATTTAGACAAAATGGTTCTTCTATGGCATCGTGAAGCACCTTTATTTTTAAGAGTGTAGGTCTAGTTAAAGTGTGATTTTTGAAGGCTGGTTGAGAAGGTTTTGGAAGCGTGCACACACACACACACTGTTACTTTGATGGTGTTTCACTTATATTCTTATCGAGCTTTGATGCTAATTAAATTCAGCCATAAAAACACTGCAAATGACTTTGCTTTCATTACCAAATGGATTTCATAAATAAATAAATTTTCAGTCATTAAAAAGATCTCCAACAACATTTCTCCACCATTTAGAGATACGTGAGCGTCGGCTATAGGATTGTTGTGTCTGAGTCGTGACTGGCCTTTGGTAAAGCGTTTACAGCGTTTAAGGTCATAAATATCAGAGTCTATGGAAATCACAACGAAAACACTGCAGCTGCGGTTACTGATGAGATCACCTTTACAGAGTTGTTCATTATGACATCACCTCAAATGACGAGCATGAAGCTAATTTCGCAGCATTAAGGTATAAACACACATTCCTCAAATCAAAGCAGCGCTTGTAAACTGAGAAGAGTAGCTGATGTTGTGTGTGTGTGACGTCTCAGGAAGGCTGCTCTGCGTGTGTGTCGGAGCTTTGTGAAGTTCAGCGAGCTCTCAGATGCTTCGCTCACCTCTGATGGTGTTTTTATCACAGCACAAGTGTCCCTGAATGCTGTCTGTGTCACACACGTGCTTTCATGAGTGTGTCAGAGATCACATACAAGCAGGAGAGTTCACTCTCTCTCTCTCCTTTTCACTTCACCTTCATTCTCTCATCTCCACTACTCTACTTTCCCATCCGTCTATTGATCTCGTTCTATATATTATCTACATACAGACTCAATTCAAACAAAAGCTTCTCACCGGTTGGCAAAAGTTCATACTTTTTATATGGATTTATACTTTCAATGCAGCTGCATATTACTATATCAGGTACATTCATGTACTGCAAGTGGGTTATAGATATGAATTAACGGTCACAATTTATTTTAGGGACCAATTCTCATTATTGACTAACTATTAGCAATGACATTTCCCTCAATAAACTCCTAATTTGCTGCTTATTAATAGTTAGTAAGGCAGTTGTTAAGTTTAGGTATGGGGTAGAATTAAGGGATCTAAAATATGCTCGTGCAGAATAAGACATAATTATGTGCTTTATAAGTACTAATAAACAGCCAATATGCTAGTAATATGCATGCTAATCAGTAACTAGTTAATAGTGAGAATCGGTACCTAAACTAAAGTGTTATCCGAAAAAAATCGAAAAACTACTGTAAGTGGCTTTTTTGTGTCAGGGTTATGTTTAGTTTTCATTGTGTTTTCAGTTAGCCTGTTCTCCTTTGACCTAGTTTCCCCTAGTTACCCTGATTAGTTCATTCTATTCACCTGTGTTGTATTAATCATCTCGTTTGCTCTTATAAGCCCTCAGTTTCTGTGTCTTCTTTGTCCTGGATTAATGTTGTTGATTTATTGGTGTACGTGTGTTGATGCTATTCAGTTCTCCTGTTCTTTGTGTTTGAAGTTATAATCGCGCCAGAATCGAGAGGCCCCTCCAAACGAGCCCATTTGCCTGGGTCCACTATCATCATTTCATGGACTGCTTTTATTATTATCATCATCATCATCCTTGCAGGGAGCCGCAAACTCACTCCCGCAGCACCAAGGGCTGCCAGCAACGACTGAAACGACAGCTGTAATCCACTGCTGCGTCAGAGGGGTGTACGGAGGATATTTTTCATGTGTTTCACTACATGATCTGCCCATTACACATCTGTCTGTTTATCTACCCGTGCGACTGCCTGCCTTTATCTGCTTCCCGAGAGGAAGGGCTGAGGATCGTACCGAGAAGTGAAATCTGCTTGGATGCGTGCGGCTGCAGGTCCAGGCCGTTCTTCAGCCAGGTGAGTTTAGGGTTTGGAATACCATCTGCATGGCAGCGCAAGCTGGCAGCGACGCCGGGTTCCTGGGCCTGAGTCTCCGGATAGACCAGGATTACTGGAGGCACTGGAAGAGACAGAAGCAGACTGTAAACAACAAAGAAAGTGATTCAAGTCCAGAAAACTGCTTTGTTTTGGATTCCCCTCCTTGTGTCAGTCAGAAACGGTCATTGAATGAAATGAACGTGAGGGGATTTGCTTCCCGTATCGAGATTTCTTCCAATTAGACAAAACAAGCTCTCCAACAATCACGCTTATTGTCTCCGTTAATTGAAAATCCTTCCAGTATTTTTTCTCTCGCAAGTATAATACAGCAAGTTAAACTGGATTGCTATCTTTGCGTTTGTTTATATCCCTTTATATGCCTCGATGAAAAACGATGCCTTGTAATTGAATGGTTGAACGATCAAAAGGTGAAAACTATTTTCTATTGCAACAATTTCAAAAGGATTGAAAGCAATCAAATGGCTCTTTTGTTCAGTAGCAGTTATTATACTGTATATCAGGGGTTAGTGTTGTTGATACCAAGCCAATACTTAAATTTTAAAAACATAACAATACCAGCCTTTCCACAGTACCGGGTCATTCTGGTACCTGCTGATAGGCGGCTGCTTTCAAATGCTCCTGTATTTGTGTGAAGAGCATCAAAAGTTTCTATTTACAATGTGATTTTGCAGCGTTGAGCATTGTAGCCAATCACAGACATGTTTGTTGAGCATGTGAAATCAACGGCCAGTCAGAAGAAGTTTTTTTATTTAGAATCTGCTCAGTACAGTTTGAGTTGATGAATGGTTTTGTTATAACCCAAAAAATAATAAAGTATTCATTGTGTAGTATAGACCTTGCCCACTTTTTATGTTATAGCCCTTTCATAATTTTAATAAACGTTTTTCATGCTGCAATGTACACACTGCAAAGTTTCAGGAGTTATAACCGTATTAAAATGTGAATGCATAAAATGTCATAAAAGCTGGCTGAGATGATACTCTCAGTATCATGAGAGGATGAGAGATGAGAGACCAGACATAATGAAGTTCTCACACTATTCTTCTGGTATGATCATTTTATTAGCAAAATATCCCAGCGCATCCAGGTCGCACATAAAACCATTTCATGAATGGTCTAAAACCAGTGGTGTAGTCCTAAAAAAATTAGGAAAGACAATTTTTCCCCCGATTTTTTATTAATGTGTTTATTTTGTTTATTAGTAATATTTATTTTAATAAACAAACAAACAAGCAAATAAAAACAAATAAATGTAGATCACTCTAAAATTGGTAAAAACTACTGTAAGTGGCTTTTTTGTGTCAGGGTTATGTTTAGTTTTCATTGTGTTTTCAGTTAGCCTGTTCTCCTTTGACCTAGTTTCCCCTAGTTACCCTGATTAGTTCATTCTATTCACCTGTGTTGTATTAATCATCTCGTTTGCTCTTATAAGCCCTCAGTTTCTGTGTCTTCTTTGTCCTGGATTAATGTTGTTGATTTATTGGTGTACGTGTGTTGATGCTATTCAGTTCTCCTGTTCTTTGTGTTTGAAGTTATAATTAAAGTCTATTTACGTTTGCTCGTTCTTCGAGCGCTTTACTACAACCACGACCCCGTGACATTTGACTAATTCTAGTAGAATTATAATGCATGCAGCGTTTGTTAATTCAGAGACTTTAAAACATTCAGTTGTCACACTGAGGGGCCGTTTAAAATATACTAAAGAAGACAAAAAGGTGAAAAAAGAAATGGCCACTCTTTCCAGGTCCTGATATTGAGGATATGCATTAAATTCATACAGTTTAAAATAAAAAAATTTTACAGGTAAAAATAAACCATATTATGCATTTATAACTTATTGAATACTGAACGTGTACTGAATGCTGCCAAGGACATGAACAAAACCTCACAGGGCACAGCTGTGGTCTAGTGGTTTATTAAATCTAAATTTCCTTCGACCATCTGCCCCAAAGGTTGATTTTTTTTTTTTACATAACTTTTCCTTTTATCTTTTTTCTCCAAATTACTTTTATGTTCAGTTTTATTGTGTTTTACTTTCGTCCCGGAGGCAGACTTTCCCTTTTAAACTATGAAAATCCATCATAAAATATGAATGGCAGTATCTTTGTATACTGAGTGCAAATATCCAACCTGGCTGGAAAAGGCTATTTTTTTTTCTTACTCCAAACACCACTGATATTTCACTTTGACTACAAACAGCATACAAGGGGACAGTGTGAGTGAAGAGCCACAGCTAAGAAAAGTGTGATGACAACTAAAAACATTAAAGTGAATATCTCTTCATTTATACATTTATGCACATTTATGCAAATTTTTGTGTCAAATATTTGTTTGAAGTTCCCCAGAGATTTTAAGTTAATATTTTAATGATTTAACAACATATTTGCGTTAATGATCACATGACAGGCAGGTAAAGAAATTATATATTTAATCTTTTTTAGTGTTTAGTTTTAAAATAATGGTGACACTTTACCTAAAGCCTTAATGTATAATGCATTATATATTTTCAGAAATAATTGTAACCAAAGTTAAAAGTCATTATAATATTTGAATGTTTGTTTGTCATTTGTTTTAAAGCATTATACTTTCTAAAGATGTAAAAATAAATAGATAAGTCATGAGATCATATAATGCATTATAAGGTGCATTACAAGGCATAATCAATGTATTAAAACTACTTTTAATATGCATTATGTATAAAGGCTTACCAAACTTATTTATTCAGTTTTACATTTTAATGATTCATTTAATTATTAGCTCGAACCCCACATGCGAAACCCAGATGGAAACTATGGATTGTGACTGTTTACCTTGCATTGTCTATGAGTATAAATCATGAGTCGGTTTTGTGCAACCACCAGTGCGCTTACAAGTCTATCCATCTTTCCATACAGCAGAAAACCAAAATCAGTCGACACAAAATGACACATTGTGTCTCCGCGCTGAGCTAAGCCTGTTATTTGTCATCCCGCGAAAGTGAATTTTTCAGACTTTGTGATGAAATCATCTTTTATCTTGATGCTGAAAATATTTCTGTGGACACAAACAGAAACAGGAGAGCTCGAAAAGGGCGCTTCTGAAATATTAATGCGTGCATGAAAGCAGAGGGAAAAGAAAGCAGACAGACATACCCAATAAACTGCCAGAGAAACACTTAACGATCTGTTACATTAAACCTGCACAGAACAAATAAATAAGCAGAGCTGCTGAAAAACGATGGAGCTGAAACAAATAAATGAGAGGAATGAGACCTTGACGGTCTCGTCTTTTCATACAGAACTTAAGCAGCACAAACATCTGATCCAAATAACAGCTTATTACAGGGTGTAATGGACCGCACTCAACCAATAAAGTGCTTTCTAATAAGGGGCTACTCTGTAAACAATACAGCACCGCGCCAGAATCGAGAGGCCCCTCCAAACGAGCCCATTTGCCTGGGTCCACTATCATCATTTCATGGACTGCTTTTATTATTATCATCATCATCATCCTTGCAGGGAGCCGCAAACTCACTCCCGCAGCACCAAGGGCTGCCAGCAACGACTGAAACGACAGCTGTAATCCACTGCTGCGTCAGAGGGGTGTACGGAGGATATTTTTCATGTGTTTCACTACATGATCTGCCCATTACACATCTGTCTGTTTATCTACCCGTGCGACTGCCTGCCTTTATCTGCTTCCCGAGAGGAAGGGCTGAGGATCGTACCGAGAAGTGAAATCTGCTTGGATGCGTGCGGCTGCAGGTCCAGGCCGTTCTTCAGCCAGGTGAGTTTAGGGTTTGGAATACCATCTGCATGGCAGCGCAAGCTGGCAGCGACGCCGGGTTCCTGGGCCTGAGTCTCCGGATAGACCAGGATTACTGGAGGCACTGGAAGAGACAGAAGCAGACTGTAAACAACAAAGAAAGTGATTCAAGTCCAGAAAACTGCTTTGTTTTGGATTCCCCTCCTTGTGTCAGTCAGAAACGGTCATTGAATGAAATGAACGTGAGGGGATTTGCTTCCCGTATCGAGATTTCTTCCAATTAGACAAAACAAGCTCTCCAACAATCACGCTTATTGTCTCCGTTAATTGAAAATCCTTCCAGTATTTTTTCTCTCGCAAGTATAATACAGCAAGTTAAACTGGATTGCTATCTTTGCGTTTGTTTATATCCCTTTATATGCCTCGATGAAAAACGATGCCTTGTAATTGAATGGTTGAACGATCAAAAGGTGAAAACTATTTTCTATTGCAACAATTTCAAAAGGATTGAAAGCAATCAAATGGCTCTTTTGTTCAGTAGCAGTTATTATACTGTATATCAGGGGTTAGTGTTGTTGATACCAAGCCAATACTTAAATTTTAAAAACATAACAATACCAGCCTTTCCACAGTACCGGGTCATTCTGGTACCTGCTGATAGGCGGCTGCTTTCAAATGCTCCTGTATTTGTGTGAAGAGCATCAAAAGTTTCTATTTACAATGTGATTTTGCAGCGTTGAGCATTGTAGCCAATCACAGACATGTTTGTTGAGCATGTGAAATCAACGGCCAGTCAGAAGAAGTTTTTTTATTTAGAATCTGCTCAGTACAGTTTGAGTTGATGAATGGTTTTGTTATAACCCAAAAAATAATAAAGTATTCATTGTGTAGTATAGACCTTGCCCACTTTTTATGTTATAGCCCTTTCATAATTTTAATAAACGTTTTTCATGCTGCAATGTACACACTGCAAAGTTTCAGGAGTTATAACCGTATTAAAATGTGAATGCATAAAATGTCATAAAAGCTGGCTGAGATGATACTCTCAGTATCATGAGAGATAAATTAACTATAGTGTCCTGCACCCACTAGTAAAAAATATAAAAAATTATATCTGATGTCTGAATCATTTTTGGTTTGACTGTATACTGTGTATATATGCACTTTTATTTATTTAACCTGGCAATGCTTCACAATGTCTCCACTCACTACCATCTGACTAAAACACAACTGTTATCATGTTTTCAGCAAAGTAACATTTATCAGTAACAGTTGTTTTACAGTGTCCTTGTTACTCTTGTTACATGCACTTACTATAGTAATAACAGTAAATTATGCATAGTTACGTGCAATAACCCTAAACCCTAAGTAAATAAATGTTGTTAATTAATATGACTCATTACTTAAATGTACAATTACACTGTAACAAAGACACCGTAAAATAAAGTAACCCATTTAACTTTAGCAACAATATGAAGGTGAATATCAGGCACAACAATGCTGGTAAAACCATATATGTGACCCTGGACCACAAAAACTTAAGGTCTTAAGGTCTTTCTTTTCGAAATTGAGATTTACACATCATCTGAAAGCCGAATACATAATCTTTCCATTGATGTATGATTTGTTAGGATCGGACAATATTTGGCTGAGATACAACTATTTGAATATCTGGAATCTGACGGTGCAAAAAAAAAAATAAAATTGAGAAAATCCAAAGTTGTCCAAATTCTTAGCAATGCATATTACTAATCAAAAATTAAGTTTTAATATATTTGCGGTAGGAAATTTACAAAATATGTTCATGGAACATGATCTTTACTTAACATCCTAATGATTTTTGGCATAAAAGAAAAATCTATTATTTTGACCCATACAAATTGACCCAAACCCATACTTTGGGTCAAATATGGACTAACCCAGCTGTTGGGTTAAATTTAGCAATTCAAATTTTAACCCAAAAGTTGGGTTAGTCCATATTTGACCCAAAGTTTGGTTGAAACAACCCAGCATTTTTTTTTAGAGTTATATGCATCACATGACTAAACATGTATCATCATTTTCGAGTTCCTCTGTTTTCATAGTCCTCACTACAACATGAAATGTATCCACTTGGGAGAGCATCTGTCAGTTTCTTAATAATAATCTTTTATATAATGTCCGGTTTCTTACACAGAACGATTGTTTTGCTTCATAAGACCTCAATATATCGTCAGGAGCCACGGGTATTCATTTTGTGTTGTCTGATATGCTTTTTTGACTCTCAACGTGACGGTAGCCGCTGACTTGCATTTTATGAACCACCAAGAAGTCTTTACTGTTCTACTGAAGATAAAAGTCACCTACATCTTGGATGGCCTGAGGATGAGTAAAATGAGGATTTTTGGGTGAACTATCCCTTTAATGCAACGCACATGATATGACTGCCACGCTTGGCATTTACCTTGCTTTCATTATTACTGGTGTTGGGGAAAGTTACTTTTAAAAGTAATGCATGTCCCCATAACGTGATAAATACCAGGTACACACACATACACACACATACACACACACACACACACGTGTTGTGTTTCTATGTTTTATGGGGACATTCCATAGGCGTAATGGTTTTTATACTGTCCAAACTGTATGTGCTATTGCCCTACACCAACCCTACCCCTTACAGGAAACTTTGTGCATTTTTACTTTCTCAAAAAAACTCATTCTGTATGATTTATAAGCTTGTTTCCTCATGGGGACCTAAAAATGTCCCCACAAGGTCAAAATTTACTAGTATTACTATCCTTGTGGGGACATTTGGTCCCCATAACGTGATAAATACCAGGTACACACACATACACACACATACACACACACACACACACACACACACACACACACATATAATATATCAACCAACACACAAATCATATACAAAATCAAAAAAGCCATTTACTACTGAAGTTGGTAAAAGCGTTATATTGGCAATCCTCCACTAAATGCTTCTGGAGGAGCTGAGGTGCATTTGCACGCTTCTCCTCACTTTAGATCACACAACAGACCGCAGATTGAGGTCAGGACTCCGGCTTGGTTTTTCTCAAATTAAGAGCTACTTCAGTTTGATCTCTCAGCAGTTAATTTACTCCCGTGTCACTGCTGTGTTGTAAGAGCCGTCCTGTGCTGAGTTTTACAGTACACCACACAGTTGTACAGCATACCATTTATAGTGTTAGATCAAGTCTCCATGTCAGAAATTTAAGATCTGAGCCCGGACACCAGTTCCTGCCACAAGATATCCATTTTGTCTCATATCCAAAACCCAGTCAGCAAAGTTTGCCTGACACCCAAGCCCGTTAACAGCAAGTCTTGTCTGGTACTCAAAACTGTGTTTTGTCTGGTACCCAAAACTGTATTAACAGTCTTCTATCAGCCAAAAAGTTGACTGAGAAAACCGGAGAAGAGCAGAAGCAGGAGACGAAGTGTTGATAAAAATGAGCATGCTATATTGACAAGTGCGACAGAAACCGACAAATACTGAATGCACCCAAATTACTCCACAGCATTAAACCACACCATATGCCTCAGTTTTAAAGATCAGTCAACAGTGAGAAATCATGTAGAATAAACTCATCTTTTCCCCAGGGACGGTATAAATGATCCGTCTGAGGATTCAGAGCCAATCAATGCAAAAGACCTGTTCCTCACAATCAAAGCACAATTACACATGCTGATGCTTCGGATTTCTGGCACAAGACACAATCTTGTATTTATTTAGGTTCCCATTTTGTCTGGACCGTGTCAGTCTTCCGATTCTTTCTCTGGCTGCTTATGAAGCTGAATGTATCATTCAGCACTCTTCACCGGTGCTTGTTCTCGTTGACCCACACGTCGTTGTTGACTGGGTCAGTGTTGCAACATTCAACAAACCCTTCATTAACATGCAATTAGAGTATTGTAATGAGCGAGCACGTAAACACAACCCCATGCTGTCAGGAACGCAGGTGAGCTAAACACAAGCGTGACACACCTCATTAAGCACCCATTCCCATCCTGAGCATGTCTGCTTCTCAAAATCTACACATGATTTTGCAGTCCTTTGAAATCAGCATGGCTCCTGGCCCAACTCCTGAGACCACGTTCATTATGTTCTTTCCAATTACATCAGATGAAGTGCAGAAACACAAATATGTTTAGTAATTGGAAATGGAAAGCATGTGCCTCAGAATACTGAGCATGTGTCCTGATAATGAACATTAACATTTGTAATGTGTGTTGGCATGAGCTTCTATTCTCAAACATACTGATTAATTGGTGAAAATCAATGCAACTGGACCCTGACTGAGCTTTGTGTTTTGGATGATTATCAGATATTCAGCAGCTGCCCAATTAACAGGAGGATGTAATCATTTCACATCAGAAAAGAAGCTCTGCAGGGTTCCTCACCTTGAGAAGGTGTTCTCAGCACAACATTCCCTTATAATCCAGAATACTGTGAAAGCTTCACATCACGCAGGATGCATATAACCAAGTTATGCTGTTGCAATAAGCATATATACAGTATGGGCCTAAATTTAAGATTTATGTATTTGAATTGCATATTTGGATTACACAGTTTTAACAAAGTAATAAACTTAAGCATATTTGTCAATCATACATAAATGAAATAAGTCTGATTTCTGGAATCCAAAAATCATGGCAGGAAGATGAACTGTGTCATTATTTGTGCAGCTCAGTTTGGCGATGCAGTTTGGTGAGCTTTGAAGTTATGCTTTTCAATATGGAGCTCACACTTTAAAATTATTATTATGTTTTTGGTGTTTAAAAATTTCTTCCATGAACATCAATTTGTTGATGACACTTAAAATATGAGCCAGTTGAAATAGTGGTAAGATTTATGCATTTAAAAATAAAATAAAAACATGGTTGCCAGGTCGGTAAGATGACGTAAACCTCTGGGCAGAAAAGAAATGCTCTGATTGGGGGATTTAAAATCTTGATATCTTGTGAACGCTTGTTAAGATGTGTTACCAATGCAGGATAACGCAAATGCCACATTAAAACGAAATGTTTCAGGATAAATAACCAGCAGGCAAATACTGTATTATTCCAGCTTCGCACATTCTTTTTGATCAACACTTGAATGTGGGTAAGTTTCAATAAAAATAAATAAATAAATAAATAAATAACAAAGAGCTGAGAAAATTGCGTTTTGTCCAGAGAGGATTCAGAACAATGAACAAAACATTGATGGAGTAGAGTAGAGTAGAGTTCATCAACACCTCTAAAGCTGCACAGTCCTAAACCACTTTCTGGATCGACATTTCATTCGGTAGCATTAGGCAGTTTTGACTTATATGCTGTTTAATGTTTGATGGTCGCATTATTTTACATATGCATCTTCTTACATACGCGATCCCTTGTTTCTGCTGCTTCTTCGCCTGTGTTTTGATCCAGAGATTCTGTACTCTCTTATAAGATGCATAATAGCGCCCCCTACTGTATAACAGTGAAAACATGGAAAGAATTCCGTCAATGCCAGGGAAAGAGTTATCAAATTAAAATGTGATTTATGCCTATTTGATTTCACCCTATTTTCCATCATTGTTAATTTCTTGTTTATTAATATGAGCTGCTTTGACAGTCTGTCTTGTATGAAGCACTATA